CATAAAAGTTCTCAATCTCAGATATATCAGAGTTTAAACATAGTTATTACAAAACCAGTTCGAATAAAAGTAGCGGAAGCCATTTGTTCAAACCACACACACTCACGCGGAGTTCAAATATAGTGCCAGCGAATGATCATCTCCAACAAAAGCATTAGGCGAGGCGTAAGGAATGACCATGCCCATGGTCCTAAGCATCACCCATCGCAGGATAAAGGCGGTTGATACAATAGCCGTAATACATACGCCCATACGCAACAAGTGGGAATAAAACCACGAGTACGAGAAGGTACTCACTAGACTTACCCGACATAAGAAAATAAATGACACCAATGATTATGAAGGCTTTATAGTAGGGTAGGTGACTCATTTGCAAAAGAAGCATTTTTAGCATTTCAAGAACCTTTCTAAAAGCATTATTGTCAAGTTAATTATTATGAACCTGTCGACTAGATTTGCATCTATACTAGAGTAAACATGTGATTAAGCAATTAATGATAACCACTGATCATTAAACAACTTTCATACTGTCATACTCACTATAATTGTCCAAGTGTTCTATAAACATTTACTACGATGAAGTCACTCAAGTCAAGTGCTCACTATCCAGGAGCGATGGCGATTGAATCGATTCCTAACCGGTGGTGATTTATTCCTTACACAAATCTCACTCACCCGCTAAAGTGAGATATTGATCACCGAGTTAATTTTCCAGGTATCTCGAGTTTGCCAGGAACCACATGTACCGGGGCCGACCGAAGGCGCACTTTGGTCTTATCATCCCGCCCGTGTCCTACCACACACTGCCCGGCACGGTCTTGCTGCGGGCAATCTACTCGGCCCGAAAAATCTCCCGGCTTCAGCGGTCGGAAGGTACTTTATCCGGCCACTAAATGTAAGGCATCGTTCAACATGACTCGAGGCCCAACAACGGTCGGTCCTTAATCGATACTGCACGGAAACACTACGGTCAAAAAAACTCGCAAGTCTCCGCTCGGTCTCAACTTTATTTAACACTTAGTTATACCATGACTTCATAGCCATCCAAGCGAGATCCGGTAACCACCTATAGCTCGCGGTGGCAGGAAATCACCCGACTTCTACCGGTCTAAGCCGGCTAAGCATTGACTCATTGCGGATACCGTGGTAACAAGGATATAGTATAACAAAGGTAAACAAGGTATAATGCAGCAACGGTTGCAAACAACTCCTGAACGTAATGCATCAATTTAAAGTAAAGCATTTAATGAAATCATTGCAAACCGGGAGAAAGATGCTCCGGGGCTTGTCTCTCTCGAAGGAGCTCGGGCGATGATCGGGGCACTCCGGAAGTTCTTCAACGTCCTCCTCGTCGGCTTCTGGCACTTCCTGCGGCTGCACCTCGAACTGCTCCTCGGGCTCCTCGGGTATGATGACTGGGTTCTCGGTTTGCGATCCTGTATGATGCAATGCGTGTAAGTGCCTATGCAATCGGTGCATCAGATGAGATGAATACAATGGATATGTTCAAATGCAAGGTAGTCACATCATCCAATAAAATAAACCACAAGCACATGTCATCTACTGCATTCTCTTCTACTGCTAATAGGTTAAGTCAACACATCTTATTAAATGCTTCAAAGATACACCAAAGATAACATTATTAACTAACTTGCATTAAAGAGGATTATTTTATTTCATTTGAAACTAGGGCTACAACAGCAACCTATATTTCTGGTGCTTATAAAAATCTAAGAAAATTACAGTAGCATAGTACTACTCTAAGTAGACTACCATAAAATTTTCATGGCATTTGGATAAGTAAAATAGTCTACACAAAAATGACAAGCTATGGCATGATCATGAACATGAAAATACTTTGTACTGTGAAAAGTGTCAAACAACAGAATTAGAATTTTTCCTATGTTCTACATAGCATACAATGACTGTACAAAATTTATCACATGCATGTTTTATACAAAGTTTGTTTTCTAACAAAAATAACAAAAATTAGCCATTAAAGGTACTTGAACTACACCTCAAAATTTTCCCACAGCACATGCATGAAACATATTTCTCCTAGGAAGTAAATGACATAAGAAGATTAACAAACTTGGAATCATATTTTTCTGAACCCTATAGATTTTTCTACAAATTTTTCAAGTTATCAGCAATATTCATGATTAAATAAAATTCTACAGAAAAGTATTTCAAAAATGACATGCAATAATTTTCCCTAGTAGATCTGATGATAAGGAACCTAGGAAAATTTGTTCCAACCAATTTGGAGCTCAAAGGAGTACACAACCATTTTCTAAAGCATTTAAATAGAATTCTGAAAAATCATTTTTGAAATCCTTTTAAACTTCATGCTCAAAACTGCTAGATACACCCGGTTATCCACCCACAACCCGCGCCAGAGAGACAGACAGGCGGGACCCAGTGGTCACCGGCCCCACTAGTCGGTACCGACCGAGGAGGCGGGGATGGCCTTGCCCGTAGAATTTTCACCGGCGTGTGGTTGCTACCACGGACTCCACAAGGGAGGCACACTGCTTGGTGCTACTTATGCGGCGAGAGGACCCCAGGCGAGGTGACCGACGGTCATGGGCCTGTGATGGCGCTTCTGCTGAGGTGGCGGTCGGGAACTGTTCCGGCGCAAAGGTGGCAGGCGGGCGAGTCGGCTCATGACCGAAGCTTCGCCATTCTGAGGCGAACACAGTGCGCACGAAAATAGGAAGAGAGGAAGGCGGAGCAGGGCTGGCCACGGAGGCGTGCGCGGCGGCCGAGCTCCGGCGAGTGATGGCGTGAAGGAAAACTCAAGGCGAGGCCTCACCTCCGGTCGATTCGCGAGGCGAGCGGGTCAACACAATGGCGTGCGTGAGATGGCGGTCTTTGTGGCGCGAGAAGGCGGGAATGGTGCGGTGGTTGGGTGAACGCGGCGCGGCGAAGAAGCGCTGGCGGCGACTGAAGCTGGCTGTGTGGCTGCTTCTTCACGTGCAGTAGGAGGGAGCGAGCGGAATGAGGCGAGTGGGGAGAAGCGGGGCGCTGGCGGGAGCTTAAGCGAGGCGAGAGGGCGGTGGGACCCGCAGGAGCGCCACCCGGTGGGCGGCGCCGTCGTCTGTCGCCACGCTGTGGCCATCGCCTGAGCCTTGGGCACGAGAGCAGTGCATGAGAGGGAGGCCGAGCTAGGCCGGGGCGGCTTCTTGAACTGGGTAGGAAGTGAGGCGCAAGGCCCACGAAGGTAAAAACAAGATTTTTCAAATTAATTTGAATTCCTTTTTCATTCAAACGAATTTTGGACTAAATCAAAGCAGTTTCAAACTTTGGACCAAAAATAAAAGTTGCTCAAAATTTTATCCTCTACAACTTTGATTTTAAGACCAACGTCCAAATTATTATAGATTTTGAATTATAAAATTAAAGTCAATTTTGACTCAAACCCTAATTTTTGGAGAATTATTTTTAAAGCAAAATTTGGCAATAATTCAAATACAAACCTTGCTCCAAAAATTGTGATAAACAATTCTAGATGATTTACAATCATAACCAAACAAGTTCTACTAACCTAGCAAGCAAAATCGGGGCAAAACAATTCTAACAAAGGTATGCAACATTCAGGTTTCACAACATGTTTCAGATGTTTCAAAGCAATGTTTCAATTGTTATTCACACGATTAAGCATGTATGCTTTGGATGCTTGATGATGCATGCTATGCATGATTTGCAGTGCCTAAATGTAGGCATAACACCGGGGTGTTACATCAGCCTCCACAGTGCTGACAGATCTCGTGGGGGAGGAGAGATATGATGCCATGGCCGAGAGGCACTCCGCGTAGGGCACGCCATGCCCGGGATTTGGAGGTTGGGGTCGGAGCCGGCGAAGAGGAGCCTGAGAACAGCGGCGGTCGGGGACGGTGTGGCATGTGCAGGAGAAGGGATACCAACAGAGAAAAAGAAATAAGAAATATAAACTTCACTGACATGTGGGACCCACTCATTATTGGGGATGAGTTATCGGTAATCTGCAAAACCATTTCCCCTGATAATCCAAAAGGTAGTATTGGGTGGTCTCATTATTATAACTTCATTGGAGAAGTTACATTGAGTTGCTGGAGATGCTCTGTTTCTTACGAGCAGTGTTGGAAATATAAGTCTGTGTTTCCTTGGATAGAATCTGGTTGATTAAAAGTGGCTACAGAATAAGTTATCTTGTAGCCAGCTACATGGTAGTAGTTATAAGGCTATTCTACAGCTGGTCACAGAATAACTTATTCAATGGCCACCTTGATTTACGATAATATTTGTACCAATTTACGATAATGACAATACACATTTACGATACATGGGTTACTATAATTCAAGATGATACTTACCATAATGCTATAGTAAATCACTTATGAGAGAGTTACCATAATCTCGTAAATTAGTATAGTAATTATCGTAACTCAAAGTGGTCACATAATAACTTATTCTGCGGCCAGCTACAGAACAGTATGTGTGTGTGTGTATATATATATATATATATATATATCATCAATTTTAAAGGAAATCCACATCCAGTAGCTCAACAATGTTCTTTTCAATCTCTTGCGAGCAGAAAAACCTGTTGCCAGCGGCCATGGATCGGAGCTCCGTGCCGGTCGTCGTCATGCTTCTGGTCGTTCCGGTTTTGGCTATGGATCTGTTCGGGGATCTTTTTGCCAAACGAACGCTCCGGACGCTGCCACGTGGCTTCGTCTCGCCCTGTGCGCGCAGGGCCACCTCGAGGATGTTTGTGGCCTCGTCTCCTAGCAAGTACCAGCGGCTGCTGCACCGACACGTAGAGCCGCTGAACGTGTCCAGTACCATCTGCGAGGGAGAGAGCCAAGGCCCCGAGCGCAAACTACGTCCACCAGTCCACCACGCATCACGCACTTCGCGCCGCAGCAGACCACCGCCGCGCGCTCTTCTCCCGCGCGCGCACCAATCGATCGAGAGTAGGGTGGGTGACCACACACACCGGAGCCCGGCCGGAGGGGATGTCGACGTCGTGGCTCCCGTTCCTGTACCCGCCTCCGGCGTCGGCGTACGTGGCTGCGATGTCGGCGGTGTCGCTCGTGTCCATGGCCAACGCGGGCCTCGCCGAGCTCCGCGGCAACCACATGGCCTACTCCAAGTTCTGGCACGTCGTGGCGGCGGCGGGTGCCGGCGGGAACACCAAGAACCGGGGCGGCGCCGGCGGCAGCGCGGGCACGCTCTTGAGAAGCCGGGACGGGATGCTGCTGGCCTACGCCCCGGCGCTCCTCGCCGCCGCCGCCTCCTTCGCCGTGCCGGGCGCCGTCGAAGGCGCGCGCGCCCAGCTCCTCAGCGCCGCGCTCGCCGCCCACTTCCTCAAGCGGGTTCTCGAGGTACCCACTCTGGATTTCATCTCCTCTCCTTCTTCTTCTGCTGATGAGGATAGGAGCAGAGCAGCTGAACATCCGCCGTCACGTTCTCTTCTCTCCCAGGTGCTGTTCGTGCACCGGTACAGCGGGAGCATGCCGCTGGACACGGCGGCCGCCATCTCCAGCAGCTACCTGCTGAGCACGGCAACCATGATCTACGCGCAGCACCTCAGCCACGACCTGCCAGACCCCGCCGTGGACCTGCTGCACCCCGGCGTGCTCGTCTTCGCCGTCGGCCTCGCCGGCAACTTCTACCACCACTACCTCCTCTCCAGGCTGAGAGCAGACGCCGGCAGCGGCGGAGGCGGCGGCGACAAGGGGTACAAGATCCCCAGGGGCGGCCTGTTCGGGCTCGTCACCTGCCCGCACTACCTCTTCGAGATCCTCGCCTTCTTCGGGTTCGCCATGATCGCGCAGACGATGTACGCGCTCGCCGTGGCCACCGGAACCGCGGCCTACCTCGCCGGCCGGAGCTGCGCCACCAGGAGGTGGTACCGGTCCAAGTTCCAGGAGTTCCCGGCGAGGATCAAAGCGTTGCTGCCGTACGTGTTGTAGTGATCAGCTAGGAGAGTGAGTGTACTTTACATGTGTGTGCTAGCAGCTGATCCATCGTCAGCTCATTTCGGCTTATTCTCTCTCAGAATACTATTGAATCAACCGAAATCAGTCGAAATCAGCTGAAACTGTATCAGCCAAACAGGGCCAAACTCTGGTGGAAATACCTGTCAACCTCTGTGTACCTCTTCTGGCAAACTCTGCTCTTCTATGGCTTGCTTTGACGCCTCACTCTTATCGTCCACACATTCTTGATCCAAATTTATCATGAAACCATGTTTCTAAATTCTAATCTAAATACCTAGCGAGCACAATTCAAATCTACGTTTTGCACGTCCACATATTCTCAATCCAAATTCAACGTAAAACCGTGTTTTTAATCTAAAGCTAGCACAATCCAAATCTAACATGAGACCATGTTTCGAACATAGTCCAATACTAAACTAAAACATATTAGAAAAAAATGGCGTGATCATTATATAAATCTCCAAGCCGCAAGTGGTCGGAGTGACGACCGCGCAATAAACTACACGTTTTGTTGCAACATAATGACATGTTTGTTATTTTATATTAATTAATGCTTAGATAAGGTTTGGATCCAACTTAATTGCAAAGGGCCATAAATCTTAAACGTTATGTAGTTGTCATAAATCTACAATATAGTTGTCCTAAATCGAACTTCTATCTTTTAACAAATTTTACAGAAAATGCACCCATATCTATAACATCAAATTAGTGCCATTAAATTTTTCATCGTGAACAAAATTATTAATAGTGCATTTTATTGACCTTGTACATATTAATATTTTTTCAAAGCCTTAATCGATGTTTATAACTTACAATAAAGTTAAAGACTTAAAGTGAACTATAGTTTAAAATTTAGAATAGGGAGAGTACTTGTTTTGCATATATATAGCTATATACAACCCTACTTGATTTGATGTATTTTCTTTTCAAAAATAATGATACGTGACGCCGTAATCGGACGGCAACTAGGATTTGCAAGGGCTTGTTGGTTTCTCTGGTTTATTTCCACTAAGGGCCTAACTAACCAAGATGGGCCGGCCCGCTATGCTGGATTCGTATGACAACCGCCAACAAGAACGTGGCAAGTGTTTGTATCCATGTTCCACTAAAAAAAGTGTCCGTAGCCATATATTAACTATTTCAGTTTCTAGAATTGGTTTGTTCGGTTAACTACTCCCTCAATTCCAAATTATAAGACGTTTTGGCTTTTCTACATATGTTGTATTTGCTATGCACGTAGATATACACTGTCTAAATAAATAGTAAAATCAATATATCTAGAAAAGCCAAAACGTCTTATAATTTGGGACGGATTTAGTAGTATTATTCACATTTCATACATTATAAAATACCAAACTAATTAATCAACAAACTTGTATATCCAATTCCTCCAAGCGTCCAACCCCAATTCAAAAGCACAACTTAGTTCTCTATAAGCAAATGTTGTGCATGTACATGAGCCTCTCAACTCTCAAGCCCATATGCTCCATATTTTTATTATCGTGTTCATATATATCTAGGATTTCTCTCTTGCGTCATATCTAGTGGTAAAGGTTATTAAGTACTTACTAAATCTAGCTAGCTAGTGGCCATGAGTCCAAATTAGTACAATGACTTCGTTTTTACTATCATTTGACTACGTTGTTGTCAAACTTATGGTTGATATCATGTCATCGTTGAACTAGTCGTAATACCATCTTTGTGCCACCGCCATTTGTGTCATTGATTTTTAATTTTTTTGAATGAGCGCTGATGAGGTCAAGATTCTCTCTGATATATATATAGAATTTCGATTAAAAAGCTAAAAACAAATAAACCAACCCGAAGTATTTTGTTTGGTAAACAATGCCGTCTTTCTCTCACTTCTTTTGCTCTCTCTCTCTCTCTCTCCCTCTCTCTCTCTCTCCGTATCATCATATCAAAATGTGACGTGTACCATTATAAAAGCGCCCGTATATATATGTGCAGATGGGAATTGTTCTAGGGTGTCTTGGTGTTTCAATTCAATTCAGCAGATGATCGATGCAACTTCTCCAGTTATCAAATCATCTTCCGTTCTCTGCATACTATATGCCCCTTCAACCTAAATGCTGCTAATTACATCATTATTACCTTTATTGGGTTTCTTCAGCCAGACCGAGTTCAGATTCATAAGTCAGGATTAAGAACTGTTGACCTGATTGAATGATCGATCATGTCAAGCTCTTCTAGATAATAAATATAAATGTGGTGACATCTGATTTGTTGTCAAGATGCACTAAATCAGTTGACAAGGTCTAGGCCAATAATCCTGGGAATGGACGGGTTTTCAGGCTACATACTTGAACACGATTTGCTTGGAAGATGTCAGATTAAACCTGCACTGATTGTGCCAACGCCTGTTGACTACGTATGCAAAGAAAAGTTTGCAGATTAGCTAGGCTTATAGTTGCAGTCAGGGCCAAGAGCATGGGTTTATGCAAAGTGTAGTTAAACTGTCTACTGTCATTATAGGGTTTCTTTCACATATATGATTCAAAAAGTGCGCCACTTTCGGGAGCTGAGACTGACTGACTGAGAGTGACAAGTTTACTTGCAAGTAACATATGTTGGCTATTAGTGGAGTAAAGTAAGGCAGCTCAATGTTTCAAAATGTTTTATATAAGGTAGTTAACCTACTCTAATGTCTTCATGAAAATATTAATGCAGTCAAGATGAACCTTCTTCTGGACGCAGCGGTGATGTATAGTCTTTGAGATTGTCAATCTTATCAGGCCACGCTGAAGAATATTATTTTTCCTACAAATCCACTTAACTAAGGCTAATTTTCCATCCTTTGGAGAGCTACCTCTATTTTTAACTTGTGAGGTACCCATCTAATTTTGTACATAGGAGGTTAGCATTTGCGTTTGTAACTGGGTCTCGCAAAAAAAAAAGATGTGCAAGGTGAAGGTCATCTAACAATTAGGATTTAGAAACATAAAATCTACTTCACTAGCAGTTTGCTTGAAACGTCACTGCGTTAAATAAAGAAAGAAATAAACATCGTGTGCATTTGCTGTCTCTAGTAGCGAAGGTAGCAGATTATAGGGTATATTCAAGCACTTCTCGTGCAGTAGAGATATGAGAGTTCAGATTAGGATGCTGTATAACTGGCTAATGGTATCATGATGTGAAGAACTATTTGAGAACTTTGAAACAAATCGCAAATGCGATATGTTGGGAATAGTCAGAGAAATATTTTTGGTTTTTTCTTCTGGAATACATATGTGTGCCTACTGCCTACGTATGGGAGGCGGCATGATATATTGAGAATGTTAAGATTATTACAGACGTCTAGCTGTCAATAAGGATATCGTCTATCACTTTAAAAAAGTATCTATTAATAAGACCCATATAGATCGTTAATTTAAACTGAGTTTTGACCCGTATTAGTGCCAGTGACCTTGGCTCGTTAATGCTCGTTTTGATAACAAGCCAAGTCGGCTCAGCTTGTTATGGCTAATGATCTAAATACAGAGTCTAACTTATTATTGTTAAAACAGATGTGATGTTAAGCAAAATGTCATAATTTAATCATGATAATAATATGTGAAATAATAAGTACAAATCATCAACAACATGAGTCAATAAATTAGAAAAATATAAGTGTTAAGACTTAAAGTAGTACTACATTTTACCAATATTATTGAGGATACGGTAATACTAACAAAAATGGAGTTTGGGGTGGTCATATATAGAGCTGCTCACGGGCTAGCTTGTTAAGAAAACAACCTTAGTTAGATTGATGCTTAACGCATTTTGTTTAAGAGGTCAAGCCGAGATAAAACCGAGCCAAAGTTATGGATGATTTGATGAAATGAGTCGAGCGCTAGGTCAACAGCCTCAACCATAAGTCCATATAATACCTATTAATAATCATATTAATAATCATATATTGCAATAATTGGTTCTCATGTCTGACGACTCTTATGGTCCTTAGGTGAAAGGTCGATCGTGTCCCTGTCCCATGGACCATGGTCTTAGCTACGTATAAGTACTCCCTCAACCACAAGTTATTTGGAGGCCGGATGTTCACGGCCCGTGCCTCCGCCTGTGAGCTTCGTGTTGGGAGAACCTCAGTGGACCCCACTCACGATGGACCACGCTGATGCCGTTTGGCTGTGTGCACTGCGTCAGTTCGCAGCTCATGAGGACTCAGCGCGTCGCCGCCAGGTTCAGCGTGCCGTGCACCCATGGACCCCGTTCGCCCTCCCTTCCTTATTGGGCCCAGCACTTATGGTCGCAGTCCCCAGGCCATCTTCGGCTCACGGCACCGCTGCCCCACGGAGCCGCGCACCGTTCCTCAGCGGCGCCGTCGGGATCGGCAGGGGGTTCTCCTCGGCTCCTTCGCCCGCCTCCTCGGCGCCGCCGTCGCCATTGCCGGGGGCTCTCCTCGGCTCCTTCGTCTGTAGTACTAATAATCATGCATTTGAAGATGAGTTCAAGTCTCTTTTTTTTTCATTTGCACTACCACACATTCACTATTCAGCTTTTACGGCGACTATATATATCTTGGTTAATTGGTCACAACAGTACCGGAGGGAGGGTGACTAATTACATACAACGATGGGGTGCAGCGGCCCAGCCCAACCCAGACGATGAAACCCTAGGGGGCGCCCTTAGCCGCCGCCCCCCATCCATTGCCGCCGTCGGCCGCCTTCTTCCCTGTGCGGCAGCCCCTCCACCCCGCCAGCTTCCCTCTCCCCCTCCGCCACCCACGACCCTTCCCAACCGCGCCCGGAGCCGACCGCGCAGCCTCAGCCATTGGCTCCATGACCACCTCCGCCGCCGCCCACCTCCCACTCCCCTCCCCCCTCCAGATCCGCCGCCCAAGACCCTCCCTAGCCACGAGTGGAGCCCACGGTGTCCCAGACGTTGCCCGCATTTGGCGCTGGCATGGCCACCCCGCGACCAGCCTCCCCTTCACCTCCCCTTCCTCCATCCCCTCCGCG